GTGGGCGCGACCGCATGGCGTCCCACAGCTAATTTCAGCACGCTAGTCACACGGCTCGTGCCCCGCAGGGAGCTCCCATGCTGCCCCAAGTGGGCGCGACCGCACGGTGTCACCGAGCCACGTTCGGCACACCCCTAACACGCTTCGTGCCCCTTTGGGAACGTCACCTACGGTATCAGTGGGCGCGACCGCCCCTCCTCCTCCTCTCTCCCTCCTCCTCCTCCTCCTCCTCCTCCTCCTCCTCCTCCTCCTCCTCCTCCTCCTCCCCCTCCCCGAGCCCACTTCGACGCATCCTAATACGTTTCGTGCCCCTCATGCGGGCCCAACCTGCAGCCTCAGTGGGCGCGACCACGTGGCGTCCCCTGGCAACTTTCGGCACGTCGCTCGCGCGTGCCGTGCTCCCCCCAGGGAGCTCCACCTACGGCCTCCATGGGCGCGACCGCAGGGCGTTCCCGAACCCATGTCGGCACGCCCCTCGCGCGATTCGTGGCCCCACTGAGAGCTTCACCGGCTGCCCCAACGGCAGGGTCCGCCTGGCGCCACCCAGCGCATTTCGGCACCCCTCACACGGTTCGTGCCTCACGGGGGCTCCGCCGATGGCCCCCGAGTCGGCCTCCGCTTGGCGCCACCCCGCCATTTCGGTACGCCCCTCGCACGTTTCGGGTGCCCATGTGGAGTTCCACGGGGGGCCCCAGGGGAAGGGCCCGCATGGCGCCACCCCGCCCACTTTCGTCACACCTCCCACACGTTTCCTGGCCCCTACAGGCAGCTCCACTGAAGGCCCCAGTGTCAGGGTTCTCCGCCGTTTCTCTACCTAGCTGCTCTTTCCTGACCTTCCTGCTGTGATTCGTCCTCGTCGTTCTCATCTACGTGCCAGTCGTCTTGCTCGCTCCCCTTTTTTCTTTCTTAGCATCTGTCTTGCGGTACTCGCAGTTGCATCCGATCGGGTCTTTCGCTGTTTTTTTATGTTTTCCTGAAGCCTCATATGGCTTCAAGATGGTCCACGCGAGACGTCAGGAGGGCCGCTAGCGGACCAGGACGGCCTGGGAGGCCTTCAAGAGGACCCAACAGAGCCCCAGAGGGCTCCCAGTGGGCTCACAGCACTGAACCGTGGATGCCAGCAAGAGGGCCCCGAGGGTTGTGGACGACGGTCACTGTAGAGGAAGCATGTTGCCAAATAATTTCCAGATGTCTAAAACATATGTCTAACATATCTTAAATCGGTGAAGTGTTTAGAACATGTTTCCGACATTTTAAACACACGTTTAATCCAATGATGGGATTGTTAGGTTGTCCATTGTCATGGCATCCACAACCCGAGAGGCCCTCGGTGGCCCCCGCCCAAGAAGAGCCCAGGAGGTGCCCGAGACTCCGGCGCGTTCGGCACGGCACAGTGCGGCATTCGCCGGCCAGCTCAGGGATCTGATGATTCTCCTCCTCCTCCTCCTCCTCCTCCTCCTCCTCCTCCTCCCTCCCCTCTTCGTTCTTTTCGTCCTTCTCTTCCCTCATCCCCCCCTTTCTGTCCCCTTCGCGAGGAGGGATGCGTCTCATATGAGGCCCGCGGGCCCGTGCGCATCCATGAGCACGTGCGACACGTTCGCTGCGCACGGGCAGCGATTGCGCACAATGCTCGACCGTGGTGGCACGGCGCCGAGCAGCCAGCAGTTCCACGCGAGTTTGGGGCACTCCACAAGCAGTCATGGCGTTCGGCCCCATGATCTGCATTCATAGCTTCGTCGGTGCCCCCGTTGAATCCACCGCCGCCGCATTGCGCAGAAGCATCAGCACCACCGGCTGGCTCCTGTCTAGGCTGTCCCAGAAGAAGGGCACGCTGTCGTGCGTCGTGCTCCACGCGCTCAGCTTCGGGTTGCCAGTGCTTCCCTGCTGGCTACAGCTCCTCGCGTTCTGGATCGACGCTCTCAGCGGGAAGGAGCCCTCGGGTGCTGCCCGCACTGTGCAGCTGCGGCCGTGCGTGGTGCCTCCCGTTTGCAGCCTGGAGGGGCCCGAGTAGATGCCCTCGATGCGAATACCCGTACGCACGCCTCTCCTCGGCGCCACCGCGCGAATTATGCTCGGGCTGCCTCCTTCTCCTCCTCCTCGTCCTCCTGCTGCTCCTCCTCCTCCTCCTCTTTCTCCTCCTCATCCTCCTGTTCCTCCTCCTCCTCCTCCTCCTCCTGATCCTCCTCCTCCTGTTCCTGTGCTTCCTCCTCCTCCTCCTAGATTGGAGTACGCCGGAACTCGGGTATGCCGATGCTTTTTGACGAGCGCGTCTCGGATTTTGACGGTCCAGTTTTCTTGGAATGTCTGCAGCGGGAGCTCGCGTCGAATTTCAGGCCGGGTCTCGTTATTTTCACGATCCCCCGGTGGGCCAGCCCGAGTCCCCCGAACCCGAGGCTCACGTCTCCCCGATCTACGGAAGCGCCGTGGTGACGCAGAGAGGGGCATGCGGTGGTCCTCTCTCGCGTTCCCCGCCTGACTGCGCAGTCCCGATCGGCGAAGACAAGGTGCCGGGGGCGGCCTGTTGTGCTCTGGGAGCAGGACATCTCCTGGGAGCGGTGCAGGCTGATGGCCGTTCGGCTGTCCAGGCGGTTTCCAGTCGCCAGCATGTGCGCACACGACCAGTGTGCATCTCGTTCTTGATTCGGCCAGCTGCTGGCAGCACTGTCCCCTCTACCCAGAGGGCCCCCAGAGGCCGCAATTTGTGAAAAACTTCCGCCTTGCTTTTTTCAATACGTTGGATCTCTGGGTAGGCGCGCAGAGAGCCAGACAGGACGCAGGTGCTAGTCAGTCGTAGTGTTCGGTGCCATCGATCAGCGCTGCCAATCAGAGCAGAGTCGTCCAAGCAGGCATGGGAGTTGCTTTGGCGCGATCGTACACCGAGCGGCGATCTGTGCTGAAGACTCGTGGGCAACGTTCTGGTTCTGACCAGCTGGTGCCGGACCAGCTACGAGAGCCTCTTCGGGGCTTTTCTTTAGGTGTCAACGCGAGAACCTTGAGCACGGGCAGGTCATTCTATCTTTGCGCCTGCCACGGACGAGCCTGACATGCTGCCCTGGGGTCACCTGCCACTGTGAGTTCAGGTTCCAGGGTGGTGCGTGTGTGGAACGATCCACCATGAACGGCTGCGTGGTGGTCGTATTGCCTCTTTGTCTCGGGTGTGCTTTTGCGGCAATGCTGCGGATGGACACCCTCCATGTTCAGCATAGATGCCACCTCGGCTCAAGCCAGCTGGCAGCCCGACACAGGTTTGGGCTGAGGAAGAAGGCGCTTTCGCTCGCCCTCTCCTTCTGCACTCCCTCACCCATGCCCCCTGTCACATTCCAGCTTCCTCCTCTCGTCTCTCTTCTCCTCTCCTTTATCCCTCCTCTCTTTTCACTCCTCCCCCTTTCCAGGTCGACGTGTGGGCCATGGGCTGCATCCTCATCGAGGCCTTCGGGGGCCCCTTGCCATACGACGACTGCTCCAACATACAGCAGATCGTCGCCAAGGCTCGGGGGCGGGGCCCGGTGGAGGGGGAAGAGGTCCAGACATGCGACGTCATGATTGTTTCAGTACGCGGTCCCCGGAAGTTCGGACCCTTTTCTCCCCAGACTGCTGTCTTTCATCCAGAGCAGTTTTCTGACGGTCCTCGGGGGGTCCTTCAGCACCTCGCAGAGGTGGTCGTGGTAGTAGCTCATGTTGCCAATATGCCTGGTCCACCTCGCAGCCACCGCCCAAGCGTGCGAAGCCCCATCGCGCCTGTCGCCGATCTTCTTGTTGGTGCCCTGCGGCTGGAAGTGCCCCCAGCGCATTCCGATCGGTCCGCTGATGGGCGTGCCCTTGGTCTCGTCCAGGCGGTCCAGCCTGCCCAGCAGCTCGATGTGGAGGCCCTCCAGCACGAGGTCCCACGCCTGGCCCAAGCCCGTCTTGTCCGTCGCGGCCTGGATCACCGCCTGCGCCCGTCCCCAGTCAAGCGGAAACCGCGCACAGCCTGGCGGCGGCGGCTCCCGCAGTTTCCGTGGTTCGGAAATTTGCCTGACCCACAATGTCCTAGGCTTCCCGTGGATGCCGAGGCTGACAGGCACGTGCGGGCCCGTGCTGACTGCGTCATCGACCTCGGCCCTGGTGATGGGCTGCTGCACGTTCGGGTCCATCCTCGGAGCTTGCTCTGCTCGCAAACCCATCGTCACGCTAACGAGGAAATAGTCATAGACAACACCAGGCCATGCCGCTGTACAGGTCGGCTGCGTCGTGACGTAGACCAGCCCCTGCGCAGCCCGAAACCCATGCAGCTCCGCCAAGACCGACGGTTCCAGGTTCCAGTCGCCCCCGAGCACCCACGGCATCCCGATGGCGTCGAGGCGCACCGGGTACCCCATCACCTCGTGCAGGATGGCGCGATTCTCGTCCGAGAGGCCCTCTGCGAACCGGAGGTACAGTGAGACCGCCACGTAGCCCTTGGCGAGCCCCGCGTGCACATGGCAAGCCACGGCTCGCCTGGGCACCAACGTGGGCTCTGCCGCGAGAGGCGGCGCAGAGACCATCACGTTGCTGGGAACTAGTACCGCCACCCCGCTAGAGTCCAGGGTGCCTTGGCCTGGTAGCGCCGCCGCCCAAACTCCATGGAATCCACGCTGGGCCGCTTGGTGTTGAGCGTGCCCTGGTCGGCCCTCGGCCGCGCGGTGCTCCTGTACCAGCAAGCACTGGCACTGCGGCTCACCATCCAAGAACTCCTTCAGGCCCTTGAGGCCTCCACCATTGTATGTCGTGATAGTGTAGATCCTCGCCATGGCTGCAAACAATAACAAACCAAGAACACTAATAACACCACCATGCTAATGCACGAACGTCGGTCCTGGCCTTCTTGGAGACAGAGGCCGCGAAGTTCTGGGTGGCATCGTAGCTGCGCTTGGCCAGCGAGCGGAGCTGCTCCTCGTCCGCCTCGGCAGGGACAGACTGGGAGATGGACAAGAGGAACTGTCGCAGCTGCTCCGCAGAGAGGTCCGTCCAAGCTGGCACGC